GCACACACTCCTGATACTATCCTTGAAAGCTCTTCACTTTTGGCACTCAGCTGCTGCTTAATCATAAAGATTCCTTCTCTGATTCACCTCATGTGCTCTTGCAGCCAAAAGCTCGACTTTGACTTGGCAATGTCACAACAGGAGCACTGGGATCTCCTCCCTTATGATCCGATCTCTGCCTTGCGTGCCCCACTGTCATTAGCACTCTCATTAGCACTCTCCTGTTTCACTCTGCTATCTGGGCTGGCATCAAGGGACCTTCAGAGTCCAGCACCATCCCCTCACCTCTGCCTTTCTGCACACACCGCCAGTACCCTGCTCCTTTATGCTTTTCCTGATTTTATCAATTTCATTCTGCTTTGGAGAGTTTCTATCCTACTGCTGTCCCTTTGCACAGAACGACCTGCTTGACCTTGACTCCCTGGTAGCCCTCACATTCAGATCCCTCCTCCGAACATCTTTCCACAGAGGCTGCTCTCCCACTGCCGTCTCATCCTTGTGACATTTGCAAAGGAGGGGGGGGGGGCAGGCAGAGAAAACCAAACAGATCTGGCAAAGCAACATAGCTTGAAAACAGGAACTAACGCAATGTGCATGCAGCACCAGAAATAACCTCGCTGCCGTACCCCGTGCAAGCCCTGTCCTTCCCTTGAGCCCTCCCCCCTGCATGTCTCCTGCCATCTCTCCTCCTGTCAGCCTCCGCTGCGGGTCCCAGCCCCGGGACCCCTCCTGCTCCACCGCAAAGCCCCCACGTACCCGTGGCACCACAGGTCTGAGCGACATGCGCCTGAGCTCTGCTCTGCCCTGGCAAAAACAAGTGGAGCTGCCAGCAGCTTCCCAGAGGACTGGTTTTCAGACAACACTGCGAAGAAATGCTTCCCTGCTCTGGTCTTTTGTGCGGAACAAATGAAAGGACAGTCTAAAACAAGAGGGCTAGGTATAAAAGTATGACTTCTACCCAGGCAAAGTGGCAGGCGCAGGCACACCTATTCACCCTCACGCAAACCGCCTGGCCGGTCCTGCTTTGTGTGAAGAGGGTGTTCCATGTTTATTAGCCTTTTTTTTTTCCCTGGCTGCCCACTGGCTCGGACTTTGCTCCTCCGGGTTGGGATTTCTAAGCAGCGGGAGGCTTTCCACGTGTGTTTGAGAAGGTACAAAGCCTGCCGGAAAACAATGGAAATAGCTGGCTTATGACTGCTGCGTGTCACGCACTCATTTCTTGCCTGTTGGGTTGTCCTTGGAGCTGCTCTCGCGCTGCCTGGAACCTGATCCCAAGCGATGCCGGTCATTCCGGCTGGCACGCACACCGGCCTGCCGCCATGCCACCTGGCCGAGATACGGCTGGGGTCTGGCCCGGCCTTCCTGCCCCGTAGGCATGGGCAGACAGACCCCTCTCGGACCACCAGAAGCCCCCAGGCACCCCTGAAGCACAGACTGGGGTGCAGGGGCCATGTCAGAGTGGGGGGTTTTGTGTGGGCTCCCTGGGGCAGGGGGGAGCGAGAGGGAAACACAGAGCAGAGTGTGGTGCCAGCGGCTGTGCTGGGCTCCTAGCCCATCAGCAGCGTGGCCCTGGCCGTGTTCTCCTCACCTCCAGGTCAGGCTCTTCTCATCCCCCAGAGCTTGATCTCCTCACCCCACCTCCCCCCAGCATGGGCTCCCCTCAGCATCCCCAGCACTGGATCTCCTCAAAGTTCCCCCAGAACAAGTTCCCCTCAGCATCCCTCCCTCAGCAAGGGCTCCCCACAGCCCAGGTCAGGATCTCTCCAGTCATTGACAGAATCATAAAATGGTCTGAGTTGAAGACCTTAAAGATCATCTAGTCCCAACCCCCACGTTTTTCACATGCTTGCATAAAACCAAACCAAGCAGTGCCCCCCAGCACAGGCTCCCCTCAGCCCAGGGTTTCCTTGGACCCCCAGCTCTGGATCTCCTCACACCCCCCCAGCATGGGCTCCCCTCAGGACTGGATCTTCTCACCCCCCACAGCACAGGGTCACTTCAAGCCCCCCAAGGACAAGCTCCCCTCAGGCCAGGGTTTCCTCAGTCGTCCCCCCAAGACTGGATCCCCTCAGCCGCCCCAGAACAAGCTCCCTCCAGCCCCCTCTCCGTGCCCCAGCGCATGCCCCCCCTCAGCGGGCGCGCCCGGGAGGGATCTGCCACCGCTCCACCGCCCTCCCTGCACCTCCCGCCCGCTGCTGCGTGACGGCCGCCTTCC